CTTGTGGTGCCTCAGCTGCATCATCTGTAAATATGGGTAATAACAGTTCCTATCTCCTGGTGTCTTTGTGACAAGTAGATGTGTTAATCTGTGGAAAGCACTAAGTGCTTTAAGTGTTGGCTATCACCAAATGTTACCTTTGGCTTCTCCCCTTTGCTCTGAGAGTTCCTTTCTCTCTAGCACCTTTCACTCCAGCAGAGCCACTTGCAGCTCCCTAAATAAGCCTCTGTGTTCCCTCTGCCTTTCCCACCCTGCCCACCTGGCAAATCCTCACTTATCCTTCCAGCCCCACCTCTGTGAGGATGCCCCAGAGGGAGATCTACTCCGTTCCCAACTGCACGTGTAATCCCTCTTATCTTGCCCTGTAGGTGATTATCTGTTTCTGTATCTATTTTTCCTGCTAGACTCATGGCTTCTTGAGGGCAGAGACCTGTCTTTATCTCCATATCCATTAGAGAGCTGGGACCAAGCAGTGTTTAATAAATGTTGGTTAAATAAACTGTCACAGGCATGCCTCTCTGGGCAGCTATGTGCCAAAATTGGAAGTTTTTCAAATTTGGAAATAAATCAACAAATGAGAAAGCCCCAAATGACTGATATATATGTATGTATGTATGTGTTTTTATATATACATGTATATATACTACTGTAACTGCTCATATACTTATCTGTAGCTCCCACTAGGGTTTGTATGTTGTTTGTTGTTGAATTTCTAGCACCCAACATCTAGCAGTGTCTGACAAATAGTAGGGATTCAATAAACATCTTTTGAATGAATTAAATATATTTAAGGGGAGATGTACCCAGAAAAATTATTTTCTGTGATGATTCTTCATTCTTTAGTTCTCTACTAAAGCATTTCTCAAATTTGAGCTCTTGAAGCTCCAAGAATATGTATCCACAGGCACCAGTTTGAGACAACCCAACAGTCCGCAGTGGAATCGTATATGCCTCTATTTGATTTTAATGTGGTTGTCCACAGAGGGGCAGTAAAGTGTAATGGTTTAAATTTCAGGTCTTAACTGTAATCCCGCTGCCTGTTTTATTTCTTAGAATATCATAAAAATAACACAAAATTTTTAGAAAATTTGTAGACTCACTGAAGGATTTGAGAAATTGGGAAAGCTAATTGACACAATTCCTAATTGGTTACTAATTGACACAAAAGCTCTGGCTTGCCATGTTCTATATCTAGGATAGAAAAGTAGCATTTTGCCATGTAGGATTTTTTTTAATGTAGTCATTTTTATGGCTTCTAAATTTGTGTCATACTTAAAAAGATTTTTCTTTTTTTTTGTGAGGAAGATCAGCCCTGTGCTAACATCTGCCAAGCGTCCTCTTTTTTTTTTTTTTTTTTCGCTGAGGAAGACTGGCCCTGTGCTAACATCTGTGCCCATCTTCCTCCACTTTATATGGGACGCCGCCACAGCATGGCTTGACAAACTGTGCGTCAGTGCGCGCCCAAGATCTGAACCGGCAAACCCCAGGCCGCCACAGCGGAGCGCGTGCACTTAATCGCTGGCGCCACCGGACCGGCCCCTAAAAAGATTTTTTCTTATTCTGAGATAATAAAAAATTGTCTCATGTTTTCTTCTAGCACTTTTATTATTTTATTGTTCAGATTTAATTTCTCGATCCATATGCAATTTATTTTGGTATAAGGTGTGAAGTATGGTTCCAATTTTATTTTTCTTCCAGATGGCCACGTAGTTGTTCCAACACCATTCATTGAATTCATCAGTTCCCCACAGATTTGAAATGCCACCTTCATCATATTCAGAATTTTTGTATGATATGAAAGACTAGTCTTTTTTCTTTTTTTTTTCTCTCCTGATTTGAGTGCAAAGATCTTCAAGTGTACTTTTTAACTACCCTAGGTTTTTGGTTTTTAAAAAAACATTTAAAAAGTTGCATATAACCATCAATGTTATATCCAAATAAGATTTTTATCCTCACTTCATGAATATCATTAGCAAGCTCATTTCAGTTTCTTTCTTTAAGTGTAGTGCACACAACCTTCAAATATTATGAACATTTCTCTCTCCCAGCTGTCACTACACCAAACTACATATGTTATATTTCCCTAAATCATCTTGCTGTGCTCTTTACAGCTCTTCCATACAGTTGATGTCTCCCTCTAACAAGTTGCTCAGAAGTTACTATAATTATTTTAGGTGAGGCCTCAAAGTGAAAGCCTATCATCGTTATCCAGTTCATCCCCAAAATGGGCATTAATTTCCATTTAACACTGACAGGCGGTATTTCTGGAAAATAACAAATTTTGAAGAGCTGTGGCAGTTATTCATTGGCTCTTTAAACAATCCACCAGGGGAAAAAATGTCCTACAAAATGCCAACTGCTATTGTGGTAATTTTTTTGCTATTTATTCCCGCAAAATGATTCAGTCACTGAAGAAAAAGGGTCATCCTGTACTAGGTCTTGAACCCAAAGAAGTGTTTGCACAGATATTCATCCAAGATACATCACAGCCTCCACCTCGACAGATGCTCTTTCAAATGTTTCATGACTCTCCTCAACAGTCAGGCTCCATTTAAGGGGAGGAGGATGACGCTGCCAGAGACGGCTCTGCTGGCATGAAGACTGGCCTCAAATTTCTATTTAAAAGCTGGACCAAAATATGTTTGGCTTCTGTTTTCTATTTAAAATTTCAAGTTAAGACGAAGAAAAATTACTCTCCATCCTGAATGGGCCTTGGGTGCCTCAATCACAAACTGGAGAGTCTTAGAGAAGAAAGAGAAATTAGGAACACTAAGGTGTTGGGTACAGACTATGAAGCCAGGTATGAAAATCTTGGAGTGAAAAGAAAAGCCTTGAGCAGGGGGCAAAAGACCCCCATATTCGACCTCCTAACCCGAGGGTCCTGATTAAGATAAGCATTCTGCATGTCACCTGTCGCCACATCAGCCACCTCCGCACAGCACCCCTCCCCTGCCTCGAAGTTTTCCACCTCATGACCCCCTTCCAACGGCCTCTTTTCATCTCAGAACAGGCCCTACTTAAGGGTCTTCCTTGTCAAAGCAGCCTGTCTTCACCTCAGCGCCCACCTCAGTACCCCCTAATTTCGACGCGTCTCCGCAGTGTCCTCAGAGTCCTCTCCCTGACCTTAGAATCTCCCTCCGCCCAACGGACTCCTCAGCCTCCCCTCCCATCAAAGCCCCTCTCCTCAGCACCCTGCCTCCACCTCAGCGCCCCTCCCTCACCCCAGCCCGCCACCCCCACAGGCTCCTTTGGCGGCTCCTGGCAGCTCCCTCTCCCCTCGGTCCGCTCCCCGCCCCGTCCACTGTGGGCCCGCCCCTCGGTCCTCGCCCCGCCCCTCGCCCTCCGCCCCGCCCCCTCTGTCCTTGCCACGCCCACGCCGGTCGCGCGCTCGAGCTCTCGTCATTTGGCGCCAAACCCTCTGGTCAGCGACGCGAGGGCCGCCGGTCTCTGCGTTCTGGGTCCGAGTCGAATCCCTGAGGACTGGAAAGGCCGGGCGGGGGGCGGAAGGGATTCTCCTTGGAAATCTCGGGGCGTCTGTGGGTACGAGCGGGGTTTGTGGCAAAAAGGGCAAGCGTATGAGGAATCCGTGGGGAAACTCAAGGGTTCCTTTCTTTGGTAGTGCGTGGCGGTCGTTGCTGGGCCTGGCCTGCTAGCTTTGTGTGTCTCGTCCCCACCCCCGGGAGGAATCTCAGTGATCTCGAGGGATTTCCAGCATCTTTAGTTTAAATCAAGTCAGACCTGGGTCTTGAAGTGGCCGCCTCGGCCTCCTTAGGAGGGAATCAGGTGTCAGGAAAACGTCCAGCGGCGGGTGCTGCCCAGGCCTCCCGCCGAGGGAGGCGTCGAGGGTGGCCTGGCCCACGCTCCCCCACCGTAACAGACGGCTGCGGGAGCCTAACCCGAGGTGTCTGGGGGCCCTACTTTAGATCAACTGTTCAGTCCATCCATTGCTACTTGAGAAAGATGGAGAACAATCTTTTCATTTTATCAAGAGGGAAGAAACGGATGATTTTTTTTTCTTCAGTGAGGACAGTCAGTGTGGAATTTGGGGTGATCATGTATAAGATGAGATCTGAGGGACAGAATTCCAGAAGATTCCATTTATCCTGTCTCCTCGTTTGTCTTGGATACTTTGCTATTTAGAGGTACTAGGTGGTAGCGACCATACTCGTAGTAGTTAGTTCCCGTTCTGCTGGGCCCCAACTCCTGGCTTTGATATTAAGTGAAGAGATGGAATAGACCAATAAAAGTGATTACTTGGACCACATTTTATCCTAATGAACACAGTCATGCCCTGTAGATTCCTGAGATCTTAAAACAACTGCTACAGTGTTAAATCAAAGACTCTATTTATCTGCTTACTGGCCCTAACATTATAATATTGGGTATCCACCATAATTTTAAATCTTAAAAAAATCATGAAACTAATAAAACAAAATACATCTTTTGTTTTATGAAACAAAATGATATATGTGTTACAAGAGAGCCCAACCATAATTAGCAAGCAAGCAGGCATTCATTATATATGAGAAAAATAAAATCTGTTTTTTTGAGGGTAAACTAAGTTCTAGGAGCCAGGGAGGACAGGGGAAGAATGACACAAGGTCGAAGTTCTTAGAATGTGGTTAACATAAACGTGAAAGGTTAAACAGCAATATGCAATTCTAAATAACATTCCAAGACAACAAAAAAGATATTATCAGACAGCCATGATTAACTGTGCTATAGGAAATCAAGAGATGATAAAAAGTAACTAGTTTTTAGGCAAGAGAGAAGAAACTCAGTCCCCCACCCCCACATACATACACCCACAAAATAAATAATGCCACATGCTTAGCAGAAAGAAGATAGGCCAGCCCAGTCATTCCAAACTAAATGTTTGTCTAATTGTCCTTCTGGTCTTTGATGACTTTGAAATGAAATCAAGGAGTTCTCTGGGCAAAGGATTTTGTACTATATGATCTATGACTACTTCTTAATATTTCTTATTTTCCTAGAATTGATTATTTTTCTGCTGCTCACTTTTCAATATGAAGGAAGATCAAGTTGTGCAGGAAGAACCAGGATTCCAAGACGAAGAGGTATGACTGGAATGTTGAAAGATATGTAGACATTCAGTCATTCCACAAAAATGAAGTTCCTTCTCTGTTGGCTACTATTTTTAGAAACTGAGAGTAGAAATAAAACATAGTTCTAGAGAGAGGCAATATTACAAATATATAACAACTTGTTTGGCAAGGGATGCTAAAATTAGCTACTTAGCAACTGGCATGGAAGTATTTTAATAATTTAACAACTGGTATGGCCATACTGGTACCTATGCATACTGGTACCAAATAGCGGAGGAAGATGTTCAAGGTCTGGTGGGGAAGAAGGTTGAGAAAACATGTTTAAAAATAGGTTAAATGTTGTTCCACTCCTTTCAGTTAAGGTCTTAAAATTTGAAGAGGCCATGACAAAAGTATTGGGCTTCCCAGCCCTTTCAATGTTGGTACTTCTTCTAAGTATGTAACAATGTGTTTGAAAAAGCATTATTGATCCTACTTCAATCTGTCTAGAGAAATGGAATTTGAGGCATTTTGGAGTGACTCGTAATATTGAATTAACTCTTTAAAAGATGTCAAATAGTTGTATATGAAGAATCAAAATTCCATTTTTTTTCTGTTCCGTATCCTTCAGGAATCTTTGTTTCAAGACATTGACCTGTTACAAAAACATGGAATTGTAAGTATTTTTTCAATGCTGTGTGGAATTGTCCAATCCAGAGTTTCTCAGCTTTGACCCTATTGACATTTGGGACTGGGAGTTCTTTATGGGCAGGGGCGGCGGGGGGCGAGCTGTCCTGTGCAGGGTGTTTAACAGCATCCGTGCCTTCTAATCACTCACTGTATACCAGTAGCACCCTCCAGTTGTCACAACCAGAAATTTCTCCAGAAATTGTCGTGTCCCCAGGGGGCAAAATTGCCCCCGGTTGAGAACCACTGGTCCAACTGGAAGTATTCAGAGCTATCTACTGTCTTCATCAACAGAAAATTCGCCTTCTGTGTCAGGTGATTAGAATAAATGATGTTGACAGAAAACCAGACTTTGAGTAACAAACTAGATAAATTTCAACAGCAATTGGTTGACAGTAAAATTTCTCTGACATTACCTTTTGAAGCCCTCACATTTAGTCTCTTTGAGTTGGATTTAGAAAGTCGGAGCAAGAGAAAATCCTGGTCCTTTGGTGATGTAGTTATTTGCATTCTCCAAGGATAGAGGGAAAAAAATCTTTAAAAATTTTAAAAGAACATACTGGTAATGAAGTTCTGTAGAAGGAAGGAGCTGAACTGAGGGGGTGAATGTGTGATAATTTTGTAAGCTTTTCTACCAACAGACTTTTCTTTTGAATTCCTTGTTACATTGCCATGGTCTCACTAACATTCTTGGGAAATCAGGGCACAGTCAGAACATTTGGCAGCGTGCTGGGTATGTTCTACTGAGATATTTCCAGAACATTCGGCTACATGGTGGGTGGGTTCCACCTGGCTGCTTGTATAAAATTGGCATGGTGGTGGAAAGAGATGGACACAAAAGCACATGACATAGTATGGGAGCCTTTCAGGCTGGCATTTTATCAATCTGCTACACCCCTTCTTTTAATTACAGAACATGGCTGACATTAAGAAACTGAAGTCAGTAGGCATCTGTACCATCAAAGGGATACAAATGACAACAAGAAGAGCCCTCTGCAATGTCAAAGGCCTCTCAGAAGCAAAAGTGGACAAGATTAAAGAGGCAGCCAACAAACTTATCGTAAGCAAAATCCATTCTTTGATGTTTTAGCTGACAGGGGCTCTGTGAGTCTCTGTAGCCTTTCTCATTGTGAACACTAGAAACTATTGTGGGAACTCTGAGCTCCCACAATATATTATACTATATACTATATTAAATATTATATATATTATATTGTACTCCCCATGTTAACTTTTTATCACTTCAGTTTCAAAGAAACAGTAATTAGTTTCTGAAAGATTGAGGCAGGGGTTAAGAGACCTGGAACACTATGAAGGTAATTATTTTTACCAAAACTTTTCTTTTTGTCTCCCTTTATATTACTTTTTTTCCCTTTCTGTTTCTCTGCCTCTTCTTTTTATTTTTGTTTTTTACGTTCCTCCTCCTTATTTTTGTCTTGTCTCCTCAAATATTATATGAGCTAAAGCTGAGCTAAACCCATACTTTGTAGCTGGACCCACGGACTATGAGAGGCCCAGGCAGCTGAGAGGCTCCAAGCAAAAATGTATGGCTTTCACCCAAGTTTTTGTGTAGAGCTTTTGGAGCCACTGGAGGCACCAGCTCTGGAAATAGGAACGTGCCCCAAGTCTCCCTCTTTGCAGAAGAGTGAGCCTCTCTGTTTCTACCTGTGTATGTGAAGATCTCATTCCCAGCAAGTCCTAGAAGTTCTCTTCCTGACAGCCATTTGGTTTCCTTCCCCAGAGGCACTGCACAAGAATGATGCAAGTGGCAGTGTGGTCCTGAACATGGAGAGGCCCCAAGTGAACTGATCTGAACACAGCTCAGTTGCTCTAGCTTCTGAGTACACTAGGCAGTATACCCACAGGTCAATTCTCCAACTGCCAGGGTGTCTAAGGAAGCCCTGGAGCAGTACCCAGTGTTTGGAAAACTGCTACTTAGCTCCTAGGCAGTAGTCTTTTCTTTGGAAAATTATCCCATCACCAAAGAAAAGAACCCCTCTCCTTCTCAAGCACCCACTACTGCACCCAGAGTCTTATATTTCTTAACTCAAGCTGTTTATTCTTAAAGAGAGGGAAAGAGATTGAGAGAGAGCTGAGAAAGAGAGAGAAAGGGAGTCAATTTCATAGTACAGTGGTTCTAAACATTGGTGTGTATCAGAATCACCTGGAGTGGCTAATAAAGAACACACAAGCTCAGGCTCATTGAAGTAGGATAGGGCCTGGAATTTTTTTTCCCCCTCAGGTTCTCCAGAGTTCGAGAACCACTGTCATAGTATAAAACAACAAAGAGGGAAATACGTTAGACCACATCAGGGCCTGTTTTCACTAGTTGTACCACTGCATCAACTGTACCTCATTAATTCAGCAAATAAGCAGTATATCTACCATGTGAAAAATATTGTTTCATGAATAGTGAAAACTGGAATGTCTGTGCTCCTTGTAATTTCTAAAGCTGGGGGAAAATGATGCTGTTGAATGAAATCAACTGAATCGCTTAATAAAATACCATTCTGCTTTATGCCATAAATATATCTTATTTCATCTTTACAACTACCCTATGAGAAAGACAGTATTATTATCCCCATTTGACCCAAAAGAGGAACCTGAAGTACAGCAAGATTAAGTAGTTTACCCCACATCACACAACTAATAAGTATTAGAGACATATTTTGAACCTAGGTAGGGTGGCTCAAGAGCCTGTGTTCTTAACCACGATCTTGTGCTGCCTTCAAAAACAAATTGACAGGGCCGGCCCTGTGGCTTAGCGGTTAAGTGCGCGCGCTCCGCTGCTGGCGGCCTGGGTTTGATCCCTGGCGCACACCAACGCACTGCTTCTCCAGCCATGCTGAGGCCGTGTCCCACATACGGCAACTAGAAGGATGTGCAGCTATGACATACAACTATCTACTGGGGCTTTGGGGGGAAAAAATAAATAAGTAAAATTATTAAAAAAAAAAAAAAATTGACAGTAGCTTATATCAAATGATGACTGATAACCAAGTATACAGTTTTTGGCAGCATTTGAAATTAAAACCATCATCTTATACCCTTTTTGAAACTTTTCCTTTGTCTTTCTGTAGGAACCAGGATTCTTGACTGCATTTGAGTACAGTGAGAAGAGGAAGATGGTTTTCCATATCACCACTGGGAGCCAGGAATTTGAGTATGTATCTCATATTTTTTATAACCACTAAGCACAATCTTTGGAATACTATATTTCTTTTTCTCTATCTGGTTGTTATTTTTACTATACGTATAAGTAGTAGAGATAGCTTCTTCTTTTGAAGTAGTTTTTTTTTTCTCAAAAGGCAACTGAAGCAAACAAATTCTAGACTGCTTGTAAAAAACAAGATTAAATTTCTTAGAAGAAATTTAGACCCAAGACATAAGTAGTTTCTGAATCAGTCTATATTAATCTACAAATCATTTTAAAACTCAGCTTAACTTTTAATTTCCTTTTCTTCTCCACTGGTGAAGAAAATTCCATTTGACTTTTGGTTTTACTTAAAAATTAGTTGTTAGACTGACTAGTTTAGAAGCAATAATCCAGTGTTGGTTTTGCTCTTCAACATCAGCAGTTTTAACTTCCCTTTTTATTTACTATCTTATGATTCCTGAGACATAGTCATCATCTTCCCAATGCAAGTTGACTAGAATGTATTTTTTTCCCTACCTTACTAGGCAGAATTACTATTTCATAAGTTAGAGCAGTGGCCAAGAGCAATTTCAACGAAAGTGGTATTTCCTCAAAGTATTCCTCAAAACCTTGGCCTCACAAAGTACTCCAAGAAAAAAGGGTTTCGTAGTCAAATATGCCTCCACTTGGATGTCTGCTAGGCAGCTCAGATTTCACAGGTCCAAAACCAAACTTTTGATCTTAGCCCCAAATCTGCTTCTCCCAAAGTCTCCCTCATCTCAGATCTGTCTCTTTCCTGATCCTCAGACTGAAAACCTTAGTGTCATCCTTGGTGACACCTTTTTTTCCCCTCTCACACCCTAACTCGAATCCATCAACAAATCCTGTCTGCTCTACCTTCAAATATATTTAGTCAGAACAAACCACGCAGTTTCTTCAAGAAATAAATTACAAGGGTTAAAAGAAGAGATGGAGTCAGGGAGAAGACCTAGAGATTAAAAGAGATTTAAAAGAGATATCACCTAATCCCAATATGTGGATCTTATTTGGATCCTGATCCAAACACACTGTAAAAAATAAGACATATTTGAGATGGAAAATTGAACACTCATTAGATAGTTGATATTAAGGAATTACTAATTTTTAGATGTGATAATGATAATGCAGTCATGTTAAAAATAAGAGTCTTGGGGCCAGCCCGGTGGCCTAGCGGTTAAGTTCGTGCGTTCTGCTTTGGCGGCCCAGGGTTCGCATGTTCAGATCCCGGGCAGGGACTGACGCACTGCTTGTCAAGCCATGCTGTGGCACGTCCCATATCGAATAGAGGAAGATGGACGTGGACGTTAGCCCAGGGCCAATCTTCCTCAGCAAAAAGAGGAGGATTGGCATTGGATGTTAGCTCAAGGCTAATCTTCCTCACACACACATACACACACACGTGAGTCTTCATCTTTTAGAGATACCTATTGAATTGTTGAGGATGAAATGATATGTTATCTAGAATCTGCTTAAAATAATATGAAAAGGAAGGGAAGTGGTGGGAGGTTTATATGAAAAAAGATTGACCATGAGTTCATAGTTGATAATTGTTGAAGTTGAGTGATAGGTACATGATGGTTCATTATTAAACTTTTTTTGTCTACTTTTGTTTATGTTTGAAATTTTCCATAATAAAAAGTTATATATTTTTTCTATTTGTGTGTGTATGTGTACAGAGAAAGAAAGAATGACTCCAATTATTTCTCATCACCTCCTCCTCTGTTACCTCACTAGTCTAAGCCACCCATTAATATCTCCTCTGGATTATTATAATAACTTCTCAGTAACTTCCCTCCTGCAGTCCTTACCTCTATTGTTGATTGTTCACACAGGAGCCAGAATGATCCTTTTAAAACATAGGTCAGATTATGGTACTCCTCTGCCCAAAACACCCTAATGACTCGCCATCTCACTCAGAGCAAAAGCCAAAGTCCTCTGTAGTCGCTAACCTAATCTCATTTTTTATTCTTCTTCTAGTTTACTATGCACCAACCACACTGACTTTTTTGCTATTCTTAGAACATGCCAGATACACTCCTGCCCCAGGGACTTTGCACTTAGCATTCTGTCTGCGTGGAACACTTTCCTCATTATCTGTGGCTTGCTGCCATCTCTTTCAGGTCTTTGCTAAAATGTCCACTTCTCAATGAGGACTTCTCTGATGGCTTTGTTTGAAAATTTAAACTCCCCACCTTCATCTTCTGCGCTTCTTATCCCCTTTCTGGATCTGATTTTTATCCATACCATTTAATAACATCTGACATACCACATATTTTACTTATTTTTTTTATTGTCTTTTCTCCCATTAGAATGCAAGCTCCATGAAGTGAAAGATTTCTTTCTTTTGTTCGCTGCTGTACCCCAAGTGCATAGAACAATCTAGCACAGACTAGGTGCTCAATAAATATTTGTTGCATGAATAAACAAACAGTGAATGAAATAAGTTGGGGAATTGCAGTATACTGTATATTCCTCTTGGAGATTCACAGTGCACACTAGCCTATTAAAGGGTCTGAAATCCTGCAGTACAACAGAACACCTCTGTAACCTAGCATTGCCTCAAATTTTAAAAATCACGAAACCCTTTTTTCAAGTAACAGTTGAGGAAGAGTCTTTGGGAAATCCTACTCCAAGGCAAATTGGTCAAAAATCAAGTAAATCAGGGGCCGGCCCGGTGGCGCAAGCGGTTAAGTGCACGCTCTACTGTGGTGGCCCAGGGTTCGCTGGGTCAGATCCCAGGCACGCACTGACGCACTGCTTGTTGAGCCATGCTGTGGCGCGTCCCATATAAAGTAGAGGAAGATGGGCATGGATGTTAGCCCAGGGCCAGTCTTCCTCAGAAAAAAGAGGAGGATTGGCATCAGATGTTAGCTCAGGGCTGAT